AGGAGAACTGTGGGGTCCTTGGTGCTCTCTGAGCTTGGCGGTTTTCTTGCAGACGTTTCATGACCCAACTAGGTAACATCATCAGGGCTAGAATTGAGGGGGCTTTGCTTTACTTGTTTATATACAAGTAGCTTGCTTGCAGAGAGGAAATCCTTCTCCCTTCTAGCACTGATGAGATTGCCTAGTTGGGTCATGAAATGTCTTCAAGAAAACCACCAAGCTCAGAGACCACCAAAGACCCATCATTTCAGCCCTGAGCTACAAAATAATTCTCTTTTATTGATCTCCAAGGATCCTTCGGGAGGCTCCTTCCCAAGAAACTCCAAAGGGGGGACCTGATTTTTATTAGCGTTTCCTCGGGGCTCACTTCCATGTGCTCACCTCTAAAGTGCCTCTCTTGCTTGGGTTCAGGATGAGGAATTTTTTCAGCAGGTTCTCGCAGTCCGTGGACATGTAGAAGGGGATGCGATACTTTCCCCTCAAAACCCGTTCTCGCAGCTCCTGCAAAAGGAAAAGTGATTTGGGGGTGTGGCGGGGAGAGACACAAACATTTATTTTTAACAGGATTAGAAAAGGACCGTTGCAGGCGTGCACCTATTCTCCTTCAAGAGAGCTAGAAGCTTTATGTTAAATGTTTTTTTTTTTTGAAAAAATATTTTAATTGCAACATAGGTTTCTGAATTGTGAGCCACCCAGAGTCGTTTGCTGAGATGGGAAGCTATAGAAAATCCAATCCAACCCAAACAATAAATATGATTTGCATGGGAGGAGAGAGGTGGGTTTTTGTAGATGTGTCGGTGGCCTAGAGGTGGAGCTCTCGCCTCACCATCAGGAGGCTGTGAGTTCCATCCTAGGTAGAGGCAGATATATTTCTCTCTCTGAGAATATCGTCTGCCGAACAAAACTCGGTACTGGCGACAGGAAGGGTACCCGGCCAGTAAAAACACTCTGCTAGCTCCATTCAGTTGCTTGGACTCCACCCGCAAGGGATTATGGGGTCGTTAAATGAAGTTGCTGATGATTAAATCAAAACTGGGGCCCGGAGATGTTGGTGGGTTCAGCTTGTCTCCTTAGATAACTTTTGTCATTTTTTGTGAGCACACTGGCCCACATTTAAAAAATGAAATTTTGTTGCCTGCTCTCAAGAGAAACTAACCTTTTTGGGCTCCTGTGCCAAAAATTGTGCACATTAGCGCACACGCACTCAAGGTCCCAGCAACTAGAATGCAATGCGTGACCCCTGCGCATGCACACCTGATCCCCCCCACACACACACACCTGCACTGCGCCTCACAGCTGATTTTTCCAGCTGGTTTGAGGCCTTTTTCGGCCTCCCAGAGGCTTGGAAAAAGCCTCTGCAAGGCTTTTCAGGACGAATAAGAGGCCCGTTTCGTCACTTCCGATATTACAGGAAGTGACAAAACGGGCCTATACATCCTGAAAAGCCTTGCAGAGGCTTTTTTTCCAAGCTCTGGGAGGCTGAGAAAGGCCTGAAATCAGTAGAAAAATCAGCTGTGAAGCATGCGTATGCGCAATGAGGTAGGTTTGCCTGCGGCTTGCGTGCATAGCTTCACCATCACGGCTATATATCTACTCAAACACATATACACATGCTATATACATACGCACATATATACCTGCACCCAGCCACACCCACCCACACACTAACCCATTGTGAATACATAGTGGAAAAAGGAAACTTGAGAGTTTACAAGGTTGATGCTATTTGGAACAAAACTGTGACGGAATCTGGATGTTCTGCTTTGGGTACCATGAAGCCCCCTTCCAGGTGTTGGGTTAGCTGGCACCAGGTGTGTGGACAGTTGAGGAGAGCGAGGACTCAGATGAGGGGGCAGGACCATTAGAGAGTGGACTGCTACCTTCAGAGATTGTGGGGGTTGGCAGCAGCGATGAGGAGGTTCCTGAGGAGCCTGTGCCAAGTGCGCGTGCGCGTGCGCGCAGGGCTGCTCGTAGGAAAGAGCAGCTATAACAGCACGGGTGACTCAGGAGTAAGGCTTTTACGGTAATGGCCCCTCCCTCAAGAAGATAAAAGCCAGCTGTGAAACGAACGTCCTTTGCAGAAGGCAAAGACGTTTTGAAACTCCAGACTCGTGGGCATTCCAGTATCCTGAGTTTGTATTTGAAGATTCTTGTATTGCAAATTATTTCTTGTCTGTTATCTTTTGGCAAGTCTCACGCAGTTTGGCAAGGCTTGTGATTATCACAGTTAATTCTTTTGCAAAAGCATTTTACAAGGTTTCTGTTCCTTTTGGATTGTGTTTGATTTGTTGGAAAAGGGCGTCGGTCAGAACAGAAAGGTAACAAGGAAAACAGATCGTGAAAAGGATGTGCAGCATCCCAGACAATAGGCCACGCCCCGGATAGAAGGGAGGGAACTTGCCAATCATCTTATCCTGCCCTCCCCACCTGTCTCTGCACCGCCCTTCCTGTCCGAGGCAGGAGGTGGAGGTACCTTGAGGTTCTGCCCGTCAAAAGGCAGGGAGCCGCTGACCAGTGTGTAGAGGATAACCCCGAGGCTCCAGACGTCCACTTCGGGCCCGTCGTACTTCTTGCCCTGGAACAATTCAGGCGCAGCGTACGGGGGGCTCCCGCAGAACGTGTCAAGCTTGTTGCCGAACGTGAATTCGTTGCTGAAACCAAAGTCTGCAATCTTGATGTTCATGTCGGCATCTAACAGCAGATTTTCTGCCTGGTGGGGAGAAGAGGAGAAGGGAGTGGAAACGGGGAGAAACTGCGAAGGGCTGAGTAACCAAGATAATCAGGGAACTGGAGGCTCAAACATACGGGGAACGGTTGCAGGAACTGGGCCTGGCTAGTCTAGTGAAGAGAAGGACCAGGGGAGACAGGAGAGCATCTTCCAACATTTGAGGGGCTGCCCCAGAGAGGAGGAAGGGGGTCAAGCTGTTTTCCAAGGCACCCAAAGGCCAGACAAGGAACGATTGATGGGAACTGATCAAGGAGAGATTCAGCTTTGAAATAAGGAGAAACTTAGGACAATCAACTAATGGAACAGAAGTTGCCTTCAGAAGTTGTAGGAGCTCCATCACTGGAAGCTTTCAAGAAGAGACTGGACTGACACCTGTCAGAAATGGGGTAGGGACTCCTCCTTGGACTGGGGTGGGGTGGGGTTGGATTGGATGACCTACAAGGTCCCTTCCAACTCTGTTAATCTGTTAAAACACCAGAAGGCAAGACAGG